TGAAGTCAAGTGGGCTTTAGGAAGCATCACTATGAACAAAGCTAGCAGAGGTGATGGAATTTCAGTTGAGCTATTTCAAATCCTGAAAGATGATGCTGTGAAAGTGCTGCACTCAATATGTCAGCAAATTTGGAAAACTCATCAGTGGCCACAGGACTGGAAAAGATCAGTTTTCATTCCAATCCCAAAGAAAGGAAATGCCAAAGAATGTTCAAACTACCACACAATTGCACTCATCTCACACGCTAGTAAAGTAATGCTCAAAATTCGCCAAGCCAGGCTTCAGCAGTACATGAACCGTGAACTTCCAGATGTTCAAGCTGGATTTAGAAAAGGCAGTGGAACTAGACATCAAATTGCCAACATTCACTGGATCATTAAAAAAGCAAGACAGTTCCAGAAAAACATCTATTTCTGCTTTATTGACTATGCCAAACCCTTTGACTGTGTGGATCACCATAAGCTGGAAAATTCTGAAAGAGATGGGAATACCAGACCACCTGACCTGCCTCCTGAGAAACCTATATGCAGGTCAGGAAGCAACAGTTAGAACTGGACATGGAACAACAGACTGGTTCCAAATAGGAAAAGGAGTACGTCAAGGCTGTATATTGTTACCCTTCTTATTTAACTTATATGCAGAGTACATCGTGAGAAATGCTGGGCTGGAGGAAGCATAAACTGGAATCAAGACTGCTGGGAGAAATATCAATAACCTCAGATATGCAGATGACACCACCCTTATGGCAGAAAGTGAAGAAGAACTAAAGAGCCTCTTGATAAAAGTGAAAGAGGAGAGTAAAAAGTTGGCTTAAAGCTCGACATTCAGAAAACTTAAGATCATGGCATCTGGTCCCATCACTTCATGGCAAATAGATGGGGAAACGGTGGAATCAGTGGCTGACTTTATTTTGGGAGGCTCCAAAATCACTCCAGATGGTGATTGCAGCCATGAAATTAAAAGACACTTACTCCTTGGAAGGAAAGTCATGACCAACTTAGACAGCATATTAAAAAGCAGAGACATTACTTTGTCAACAAAGGTCCGTCTTGTCAAGATCTATGGTTTTTACAGTAGTCACATATGGATGTGAGAGTTGGACTGTAAACAAAACTGATTGATTGCCAAAGAATTGATGCTTTTTAACTGTGGTGTTGGAGAAGACTTGAGAGTCCTTTGGACAGCAAGGAGATCCAACCAGTCCATCCTAAAGGAATTCAGTCCTGAATATTCATTGGAAGGACTGATGCTGAAACTGAAACTCCAATACTTTGGCCACCTGATGCGAAGAACCAACTCATTTGAAAAGACCCTGATGCTGGGAAAGATTGAAGGCAGGAGGAGAAGGGGATGACAGAGGATGAGATGGTTGGATGGCATCACTGACTCAATGAACAAGAGTTTGAGTAAACTCCGGGAGTTGGTGATGGACAGGGAGGCCTGGAGTCCTGTGGTTCATGGAGTTGCAAACAGCCGGGCACTACTGAGCGACTGAACTGAACTGAACTGAATATAAACATATAAAAATAAAAACGATTTAGAAAGAAAAACCCACCAAAAGCAGAGTCTAAACACAAGTGGGGAAAGTTTTGTAGTTTATATCACAGACAAGGTGCTAATTTTCTGAATATTTGAACAGGTCCCAGAAATCAATTTAAAAAGCAACAGAAATAAAAACAAAAATAAACAATTGGGACCTAATTAAACTTAAAAGCTTTTGCACAACAAAGGAAACTGTAAGCAAGGTGAAAAGACAGCCTTCAGAATGGGACAAAATAATAGCAAATGAAGCAACTGGCAATTAATCTCCAAAATATTAAAGCAGCATATGCAGCTCAATACCAGAAAATTGAATGACCCAATCAAAAAGTGGGCTAAACAGACATCTCTCCAAAAAAGACAAATGGCTAATTAACACATGAAAAGATGCTCTACATCACTCATTATCAGAAAAAAAGTGAATGAAAACCACAGTGAGGTACCATCTCACACCAGTCAGAATGGCTACTATCAAAAAGTCTACAAACAATAAATGCTGGTGAGGGTGTGGAGAAAAGGGAACCCTCTTACACTGTTGGTGGGAATACAAACTAGTACAGCCACTATGGAGAACAATGTGGAGATTCCTTAAAAAACTGGAAATAGAACTGCCATATGACCCAGCAATCCCATTTCTGGGCATACACACTGAGGAAACCAGAATTGAAAGAGATACATATACCCCAATGTTTATTGCAGCGCTGTTTACAGTAGCTAGGACATGGAAGCAACCTAGATGTCCATCGGCAGACAAATGGATAAGGAAGTTGTGGTACATATACACAATGGAATTTTACTCAGCTGTAAAAAAAGAACACATTTGAGTCTGTTCTAATGAGGTGGATGAAACTGGAGCCTATTATACAGAGTGAAGTAAGTAAGAAAGAGAAACACCAGTACAGAATATTTACGCATATATATGGAATTTAGAAAGACAGTAACAACATTCCTATCTATATGTAAGACAACAAAAAAGACACAGATGTAAAGAACAGACTTTTGGACTATGTGGGAGAAGGCAAGAGTGGGATGATTTGAAAGAATAACACTGAAACATGTCTATTACCCTATGTATAATAGATGACCAGTGCAAGTTCAATGCATGAAGCAGGACACTCAAAGCTGGTGTCCTGGGACAACCCAGAGAGAGGAGTGGGGAGGGAGCTGGGAAGGGGCTTCAGGATGGGGGGATACATGTGCATCCGTGGCTGATTCATGTTGATACATGGCAAAAACCACCTTAATATTCTAAAGTAATTAGCCTCCAATAAAAATTAGTTAATTAATTTTTTTAAAAAGGAACTTGATAACCCAGTTGAAAAATGGGCAAAGTATTTGAATAAAATCTTCACAGAAAATAAAATACTCATGGTTCTTAACTCTGTGAAAAGAGTTAGCTTCAACCTATAATAAAAGTAATGCAAATGAAAGCATGGAAGTGCCATATTTCATCTATTACATTGACAATGAACAAAAAAGTTGATAATATTTGTGGGGAAATACTCTTTTATAATGCTGACCAATATATAAATTGTCACAACCTCTTTGGAGAACAATTTGACAAAAATTTATCACAATTACAAAATGTTTACGCTTGATTTAGAAGTTCTACTTTTAGGAACATACATACAGGTATACATATGTATATACAAGATTGTTCATTGAAGTACACTTTTTATAATGCAAAATATTGAAAACAGCATAAATGTTATGTTAACCTCATTAGAGGTTAAGTAAATTCTGGTAAATCTAGACTTTGGAGTACTATAATTCTGTAAAATGAATGAGTAGACTCTTTATATATTAATACCTAAATTCTAGCTTGTTATGAAAAAATCAAACATTTAATTTTAAATGTATAAAGAGTGGGATAAAAGAGCCTATGTACTTTGCTACGTATGTAGAAAGTATCTCTGGGTGGAATACCTGGGTAGCCCTAAAGGAGGGGCCTAATGGCCAAGAATAAGACTATTAAGGAGGCTTTTCACTCTATTTGTATTTTTAAAATATTGCACCAGGTGAATGCAATTATTTATTTTAATTTAATATAACAAAAGAAAAAAGACATAAAGGAACTGGAGAATGACCAGAAACATGTTACTTCAAATTCTCAACTGGATGAAAGTGTTTACATGTAAAAACAGATTTAAAAGACTAGGAGCATTCATTCTGGGAAGAGAAAAACACACTATAGAGCAGAAAATATTTCAACAATTCTAAGGTAACTTCAGCTTTGAAATGAAAATTTCTGTCTATACACTGAATGTCTTTCTTTTACACCTTGTTATTCCAGTGCTTAGTTTTCAAATGAATTCAGTCCTCAAAAATGTAAATATCATGAGAACAGGGTACTTTGTTTTATTCACTGCTGTATCCATAGCATCTAGAACAGTGCTTGCCAAATAGTGCATATTCAATAAATATTTGTTGAATAAATGACATAGATTGTTCCTATAATTAATGATAGCTTTTTCTATCATAGATCTTAGTTTGACATATTGTAATTTTAGGTTAGAAAAGTTCTCCAAATAAGGTAACCAAATAAGGTAACTTTATAATATAAAGTATTATAAATTTTAAAAAGGGGAAAGAATTTCTACAATAAAAAAATGTTTCTTAAATCCCCAAAATAATAAGTTGACAACCTCAAACACAAAGGCCAAGAATGGCAGGCTAATTTCAATTTTAAAAATCAAGACTAGAACCTGTTTCCTGTAGGTCACTCCAGCATCAAGGCTCGCATGGCAACATGAAGTGCATAAACCTGCCTGCCATCTCTCACTTTAATAGATCTTCTGTCCAACTTCACTTCAATGAAAAGTAAATTAAAAGAAAGAATCATAGGTCTTCTGGTGAATGCAAGATGAAAGTAACTCAGAATAGCTGCAAGCATTTCTAAACTTTTGAAGCTGGTACTTTGGAGATCAACCATGATCCTCAAAATATATTTTAGTATCTCTGCTAGAGATATATATGAGTGAAATTGATGTTACATGACATTTCTTATTTCTAAAAAATATACCTCCTTTTGCTATCTTACATATCCTTCCATCTTACAAACTTTCTATAAGAGAATCTTTTAGAACAGCTAACCTGACAAATCGGAGAAGGCAATGGCACCCCACTCCAGTACTCTTGCCTGGAAAATCCCATGGACAGAGGAGCCCGGTAGGCTGAAGTCCATGGGGTCGCTAAGAGTCGGACACGCCTGAGCGACTTCACTTTCCCTTTTCTCTTTCATGCACTGGAGAAGGAAATAGCAACCCACTCCAGTGTTCTTGCCTGGAGAATCCCAGGGAAGGGGGAGCCTGGTGGGCTGACGTCTATGGGGTCGCACAGAGTCGGACACGACTGACTTGACTTAGCAACCTGACAAATACATATATACTGATAGGGTAATGAGGGAGGACATTTGAAATCAGGACTAATCCAGACAACTAGACATAATATTTACATCTACCTTGCACGCTGGATCAGTCTGTAGGCATTGTACTTGCGGAATAAGTATCCCAGCCGAATTTTGTCTGTATGAAGTGTCTCAATTATGAGATTCCTAGCTTCTGTGTGTAGCTGTGAAGGGAGTATGGAAGCTTTTGTGGCCTGATTTAAGAGTATCAGGTTCTTCCGCTGAGCCTCCACATCAACAAAATAGTTCTGTTCTTTGAGCTCTTGGGGATAGGAAGTGGGCACCATCATTTTGGGTTGCTTGGTACCTGAAACTGAAGTCAGCAGCCAGGGCATATTGATAGGGGGAAGTGGGGATTTCCGGTCCCATTCAGAAGGTGAGCTCTGCCGTGTTTTGAGTAGTTGAGTCGTAATAAGAGAAGGTAGTGGCGTTACAGGCTTAATGAGAGTAGGAAGGGTCCTCTCATGAACATAAGGGGCTTGTGATACTGGTGTCTTGTAATCGGTGAGATGGGACTTAAACATTCTAAATTGTTCCACGGTAAAAGGATCTTCGGGTATCTGGATTTCTTCAGAAGCGTCAGGGGCTTGAATTACCTTGAAACTTGGAGCACTGGGATGGACCAATACTGATTTCAATTTCAGAGAAGAAATGATTGACAATCTTTCCTTCCTTTTCTTAGAGACAGCAGAGGACAAATCTTTCTGTGGCTTTTCAGGGATTGAGGGAGTCAACAGTGTTCGGGGATGCCCAGGGGTGGGAGAGACCCATGCTGGGGAAGCTTGCCCAGGAAGGGTCCTTGGTGGCAGATGCTGTCCAAGGGCAGAAGGGGCTTGTAAATGGTGAGATTGCTTACTAGTGGCAAAGGTCTGGGATGCCTGAAACTGCTCAGAGAGTGTTAACGGTCCAGATTTCAAGACCTCTTGAGGGATGGAAGAGGTCCCAGGAAACAAGCACGTCCCAGGAGAGAGAGGAGCCCAGATTTTGGGGATCTGTGAAGAGGTGACTGGGACTCCAGATATAAGGGGCTGTCTGCGGTCAGGAAGGGGCTTCAATATCAAAGGTGACTGGGGAGTCATAGAGTCCCTAGATATGAAGAATCGCCCAGAACTAAGAAGGGCCTCTGGTTCCAGGGGCTGCTGTGAAGTGGGAGAAAGCTCAAATATTGGACTGGGAACTGGTGTTGGGAACGGAACAGAGGTTGATAGATCCTTAGACACTAGGGTCTGTCTGGAGGAAGGTGAAGTCTGTGGTGCCAGGAGCTTCTCAGGGTCTGAAGGAATCCTCATGCCCAAGAATTTCTCAGAGGGGGCTTGTTTAAGAGGAAACCTTGCTAGATGCATAGGAGTAGAAGGCACCTCAAATACAAGGGACTTCTCAGCAATAGCAGCAGATGATACTGAGGACACCTTAGGAGTGTGAGGAGCATGTTTTGTGACAGATTTATCAGTAATGGAAGAGATCCCAGCTTTCAGTGTATGCTCTGAGGGAGGACCAGCCCAGGGTGGTAAGGGCTGCTCCTTCATGAGAGGAGTTGTTGATTTTGGGTCCTGCACAGACCGAACAGTAATACCCACGGACCAGGCCTCCCCTGGGGTGAAAGGAGCGTCCAAAGGTTGGATTTGTTCTGGGATGTGGGGATATTCTAAGGTATACACTTTATCTGAGGTGAGAGGAACCCCTAATTCTGCAAACTGTTCACGAGAGAGAGAAACCCCCAATGCTTGAGCCTGTCCTAAAGTGAAAGGGGCCCCCAAATCCCGAGCCTGTGGAATGGTGACAGGGATTCTCAATGCCTGAAACTGCTGAGGGGTAAGAGTGAGGCCCTGAGCCTGTACCTGCTCAGGGGTGATGTGGATCCTCAGTGCCTGGGCCTGCTGAGAAGTGAGAGACACCCAAGGTGCCTGGGCCTGATCAGGAGTGAGGGTGATCCCTAGTGCATGGGCCTGCTCAGAGGTGACATGGATCCCCAGGGCATGGGCCTGTTCAGGGGTCACATGGATCCCCAACCCCTGGGCTTGCTGAGGGGTGAAGATGATGCCCTGAGCCTGGGCCTGCTGAGGGGTGGCAGGGATCCCCAAATCCTGGGTCTGCTGAGGGGTGAGAGTCAGAGTCTGAGCTTCAGCTTGCTGAGGGGTGATAGGAATCTCCAGTGCCTGAGCCTGTTGAGGGGTGAAAGAAACCCCCACTTCCTGGATATGCTGCAGGGTGACAGGAATCCCCAGTGCCTGGGCCTGCTGAGGGGTGAGAGTGATCCCTGGTGCCTGGGCTTGTTCAGGGGTGAGAGTGATCCCAAGTGCCTGGGCCTGCTGAGGGGTGAGAGTGATCCCTGGTGCCTGAGCTTGTTCAGGGGTGAGAGTGATCCCAAGTGCCTGGGCCTGCTGAGGGGTGAGAGTGATCCCTGGTGCCTGGGCTTGTTCAGGGGTGAGAGTGATCCCAAGTGCCTGGGCCTGCTGAGGGGTGAGAGTGATCCCTGGTGCCTGGGCTTGTTCAGGGGTGAGAGTGATCCCAAGTGCCTGGGCCTGCTGAGGGGTGAGAGTGATCCCCGGTGCCTGAGCTTGTTCAGGGCTGAGAGTGATCCCAAGTGCCTGGGCCTGCTGAGGGGTGAGAGTGATCCCTGGTGCCTGAGCTTGTTCAGGGGTGAGGGTGATCCCAAGTGCCTGGGCCTGCTGAGGGGTGAGAGTGATACCTGGTGCCTGGGCTTGTTCAGGGGTGAGAGTGATCCCAAGTGCCTGGGCCTGCTGAGGGGTGAGAGTGATCCCTGGTACCTGGGCTTGTTCAGGGGTGAGAGTGATCCCAAGTGCCTGGGCCTGCTGAGGGGTGAGAGTGATCCCTGGTGCCTGGGCTTGTTCAGGGGTGAGAGTGATCCCAAGTGCCTGGGCCTGCTGAGGGGTGAGAGTGATCCCTGGTGCCTGAACTTGTTCAGGGGTGAGAGTGATCCCAAGTGCCTGGGCCTGCTGAGGGGTGAGAGTGATCCCTGGTGCCTGAGCTTGTTCAGGGGTGAGAGTGATCCCAAGTGCCTGGGCCTGCTGAGGGGTGAGAGTGATCCCTGGTGCCTGAGCTTGTTCAGGGGTGAGAGTGATCCCAAGTGCCTGGGCCTGCTGAGGGGTGAGAGTGATCCCTGGTGCTTGAGCTTGTTCAGGGGTGAGAGTGATCCCAAGTGCCTGGGCCTGCTGAGGGGTGAGAGTGATCCCCGGTGCCTGAGCTTGTTCAGGGCTGAGAGTGATCCCAAGTGCCTGGGCCTGCTGAGGGGTGAGAGTGATCCCCGGTGCCTGAGCTTGTTCAGGGGTGAGGGTGATCCCAAGTGCCTGGGCCTGCTGAGGGGTGAGAGTGATCCCTGGTGCCTGGGCTTGTTCAGGGGTGAGAGTGATCCCAAGTGCCTGGGCCTGCTGAGGGGTGAGAGTGATCCCTGGTGCCTGGGTTTGTTCAGGGGTGAGAGTGATCCCAAGTGCCTGGGCCTGCTGAGGGGTGAGAGTGATCCCTGGTGCCTGGGCTTGTTCAGGGGTGAGAGTGATCCCAAGTGCCTGGGCCTGCTGAGGGGTGAGAGTGATCCCTGGTGCCTGAACTTGTTCAGGGGTGAGAGTGATCCCAAGTGCCTGGGCCTGCTGAGGGGTGAGAGTGATCCCTGGTGCCTGAGCTTGTTCAGGGCTGAGAGTGATCCCGAGTGCCTGGGCCTGCTGAGGGGTGAGAGTGATCCCTGGTGCCTGAGCTTGTTCAGGGGTGAGAGTGATCCCAAGTGCCTGGGCCTGCTGAGGGGTGAGAGTGATCCCTGGTGCCTGAGCTTGTTCAGGGGTGAGAGTGATCCCAAGTGCCTGGGCCTGCTGAGGGGTGAGAGTGATCCCTGGTGCCTGAGCTTGTTCAGGGGTGAGAGTGATCCCAAGTGCCTGGGCCTGCTGAGGGGTGAGAGTGATCCCTGGTGCCTGGGCTTGTTCAGGGGTGAGAGTGATCCCAAGTGCCTGGGCCTGCTGAGGGGTGAGAGTGATCCCTGGTGCCTGAGCTTGTTCAGGGCTGAGAGTGATCCCAAGTGCCTGGGCCTGCTGAGGGGTGAGAGAAACTCCCACTTCCTGTATCTGCTGAGGGGTGACAGGAATCCCCAGTGCCTGGGCCTGCTGAGGGGTGAGCGAAAACCCTACTTCCTGGATCTGCTGAGGGGTGACAGGAATCCCCAGTGCCAGGACCTGCTGAGGGGTCAGAGTGATCCCTGATGCCTGAGCTTGTTCACGGGTGAGAATGATCCTTAGTGCCTGGGCTTGCTGAGGGGTGAGGGTGAGTGCTGGTGCCTGAGCTTGTTCAGGGGGAAGTGTGACCCCCAGTGCCTTGGCCTGCTGAGGGGTGAGTGTGATGCCCTGAGCTTGAGCTTGCTGAGGGGTGACAAGAATCCCTAGTGCTTGGGCCTGTTGAGGGGTGAGAGTAATCCCTGGTGCCTGAGCTTGTTCATGGGTGAGAGTGACTCCCAAGGCCTTGACCTGCTGATGGGTAGGCATGATGCCCTGAGCTTGAACTTGCTGAAGGGTAACAGGAATCCGCAGAGCCTGGGCCTGCTCTGTGCTAAGAGCCATCCCCAAACCCTGAGACATCTTAGGAGTAGTTTCCCTCAATGCCTGAACCTGATTAAAGGTGTCCGTGATTTCCAGTGCCTCGGCCTCTTCAGAAGTGAGGTCAATTTCCATTGCTTGGGCAAGCCTAGAGGTAAGAGTGATGGACTTTGCAAGAGATGCTCCAGAAACAGAAGAGGATCCACGTGAGGAAGATTGTGTGGAGATGGGAGTAGTGATTGGAGTGGGATGCTTTCCTTCAGCCAGATCCCCTAATTTCTTAAGATTCCCAGTGAAATCTTTTCTTTGGTGTATCTGCGGTATGTCTTTCTGTGTGCTCTCCCACCTGTGAAACAATGGGATCGAAGTCTGACTGAGCACCTGTTCTAGTTGTTCAGATGGCTTCATCTTCTTTGCTGTTTTTTGCTTCTGACTTTCATAGTCCCCTACCTTTCTCCTTGCCTTCTGCTTCTCCTCCTCTCTCTCCCAACTGCTTTCTTGCTCCAGATGTCTCACTTCCTTCTGAACCTGCATCATCTGCTGTCCTTTCTCCTTCTCCAAAGGCACACCTTGTTGTTTCATTTTTTGTTTCCATGCTTCCAACTGCTGCTGCTTTGACTTCTGATACCCTTCTTTCTCCTCTTCCCTTTGCTTTTGCTTCTCATCTGACTCGATCTGCTTTTGTATATTGTGTTTTTGCTGTCCCTTCCACACCTCTTCTTCCTGCCGCTGTTTCTGCTTCTGTTGCCCTTGCTTTCCCTCCTTCACTGGGAGCCATGCCCCTTCCTTCTCCAAATTCTTATTTATCATCTCAAACCTCCTTTCTTCTAGCTCTTGTTTTTCCTTCTCTTTATAGTCTGTCCCTACTGTTGAGGCTTCTGGAACATTCCTTTCACTTTCTAGTTCGGTCAAGATCATTTGTATTAAATTGTCAGTTAGTGGGTCAAGCCTCTCCTGTGAAATTAAGGTGCTAATTTCTGACTTTGCACTAGTTGTTTCCTGAGAATGCTGTTCTGGCATAAATGAGACTGCCTTTTTTTGTTTCAAAGGTTTCTCTCTAATTCGTCCTTCATTTTTTGTATCTTTGTATTTTCTTAAGATTTTTGTCACAGTTTCAGCCACTTTTTGGAAATATTCCTCCATTTTTGCCTTTATGATTCCTAATTTCTCAACTTCTGATCTTCTTAATAACTCTTTTTTTGACTCAGTCTTTTTATCCAAGGGCTTTCCTATGTTATCAGTTTTCTCTTTAAGGAATGACACTATGGCTTTCTGAACTTCTTCTAGGTTACTCTGTTCACTTTCGCCATCTGGAATACCTGATTTAGCAAGTGTAAGAGACTTGAATTTCTTTGTGAAGACTGACATATCTTTCTCTTCAGATTTTTCTTCTTTTCTTGTAGTGCTTCCTGGAGAGATATGGTGTTTCTTTCCTTTTATTTTTTCAGAGGAATAATCAAGTTGGCTCAAACTGGATGGCTCTGGTGGGCTGCTGATCTCATTTGTGCCATCTTTGTTCATTGACTCAGTGGTAAGCTCCTCTTTATTCTCTGAAGAAATTTGACTTTTACTCTGTGAATATTCAGATTTAGCCTTCCTGAGTTGTTCCAGTATACCACTTGTTCCACTTTTACCACCTTGGCTCTTGTCAGAAGGGAAATCAGAAGGAAAATGTTGATTTTTTGATTCAGTGAGTGACTTTGATTTGGCTTCAGGAGAGGATTTTGTTTCTTTTCTCTTCTTATCCAGTGCTTGTAATTCTAAGTGGTGATCAGGTTTGGTCCCTGTGACTTTCTGTTTACCTTTATCATCATTCACATTTGATTCAGAGGTCTCCTGCACAGACAGGCTTTTTGTGTGCTTTTTTTTCTGTGACTGGAACTCGTCAGCCCCATCTTTCTGAAAGGCACCACCTTTCTTCACTGATATCTTATCTTCAGTGATCTCTCCAGAAGACTTTTTCTGCTCACCAGTTAAATCTTCAGTAGTTTCACCTTGGGCTGCATATAAATGAGATGAGTCCCACTTGATCCCCAAGGCTTTGGTCCCTTTTTGGGGGGCCTCATCTACCATGTTTTCAAATTCTTTGGCCAAAATACTGTCTAAATTGTCTTCTGTGTCAGCTTGGCTAATGGTTGATTGTGGAGAAGGCTCAGGTAACACTTTCAGTGTTGATGTGGGCAATGCTTGGTGCTCTAAAACTTTGGATCGAATAAGGTGTTCATATTTTTCTTCTGCTTCTTGAAGTTTTTGCTGAAGCATTTCATTTCTTTCACTGAGATCTTGTATTATCTTCAGGGAAATCTCTTGTTCTCTTTCAACTGTCTCATTTGCATATATATCAGAAGTATGGAGGTTAATAGCTTTCACTTCATCATTTAGTGTACTCAAAGCTTTAGAAAGGTTTACAGTTGTTGATGATATATATTTAATAGCATTGTTTTCCAGTTTATTGAACATTGAAGTACCTATGAGTTCCTGAAGCATATCTTGGATTTCTGACACCTTTTTTTCGGTGGCAAATTGATCACTAATCATCTGATCTGGTCTTAAAGCATGAGCTGTTGCAGGTCGCTTTATAACTCTTTCTTTCCATGATTTCCATAGAGAACCTCTAGATGCTAGAAGAAAAAAAACATAAAACATAAATGAGGTTGCATTTCTGCTTTTGTGCTGTGCTCTAATCTAAGTTTAAGTGTAAGTGTTAGTCGCTCAGTCGTGCCCGACTCTTTGCAACCCCATGGACTGCAGCCCACCAGGCTCCTCTGTCCATGATATTTTCCAGGCAAGGATACTGGAGTGGGTTGCCATTTCCTTCTCCAGGGGATCTTCCCAACCCAGGGATTGAACCCAGGTCTCCTGCACTGCAGGCAGATTTTTACCAACTGAGCTACAAGGGAAGCAGATTAAGGAATTTAGCCTAAATTAACAGATAGATATAGGGTGAAGTTTCGTTAGGGAAGTTTGGCCCCAAAATAAACAGCATTATTTTCAAAAGAATGACTCTTTCTCCACAATTATCTAGAAGTTCTTCTTCCAGAGTTTAGGAGAACTCAGCTGTGACCTCAACTTACTTTAGGTTACAATTTTGAGATTAGATTAGGATGAATACCAAAATTTTCCTTTGGTTTTGATAATGCTTGATGCTTTCCATTTTCTTTAATGGGTTCCTATCTTTCTTTTTTCCCTTTTCTGAGTCAAAGCTAACCTTAATTCTTTCAGAAGGATCACAAAAAATAGAAGGCAAACATTTGAAGGGATTTTCAAAATGGCTGAATGAGAAACTCAGCAAATTTTTCCCAAAAGAGTAAGAAAAAAGCTGAGCAAATTTGCCAAAAACAACCATTTTAGGACTTTGGAAACTGACCAGAGGCATACAACAAATTGAGAAGAATTAGTTCAAGAAAAATTTGCTGTGATGTTTTAGCTTGTAGCTGCTTCCATCTCCAACACCCTAGCCCTATGGCCTGGTAGTTCTACCAGAGTGAAACAGGCTGTGAAGACTGACAACTCTGCTGCCTGAGGGGGTTGATTTGATCTGGAGCAATGCAATATTATAACAATACTACTTTAACCCATAAAAAGATTCATTAGCAAAGAGTATAAGCCTTACTAGATTAATCTGGATTAATTGATGATTGATCATTTACTGACCACTAAGCTATGCTGAACCAAAAGTAACCCTTAAAATTCAGGCTTAAAAATAAAAACCGGAGTTTCCCTGGCAGTCCAGTGGTTAAGACTCCTCTGGTGGGTTTGATCCCTGATCAGGGAACTAAGATCCCACAAGCCTTGAGGTCAAAAAACTAGAATGTAAAACAATAGAAGCAATACTGCATCAGATTCTATAAAGACTTTAAAAATTGTCCACATTAAAAAAAAAAAAAAAACTTTAAAAAAAGAAAACCAAGTGGAAAAACTGGAGTTAAATACCGGAAATGAAAAATTCACCAAAAGGGCTCAACAGCATACGTGAGCTGATAGAAGAAAATAACCAGCAATCCTAATGCTAGATTACTAGGGACTGTCTAATCTGACGAACAGGGAGGAAAAAGCAATAAAGAAAAATGAACAAAGGCTCAGAGATTTGTGGGATACCATCAAGCATACCAGTGTACAAGCAATAGAGGTCCCAGAAGAAGAGAGAGGGATATTTAAAATATCTAAAGAAAGAACTTCTCTGTGGTCCAGGGGCTAAGACTCCATTCTCCCAATGCAAGGGACCTGGGTTTGATACCTTGTCAGGGAACAAGATCCCACATTCCACAATTAAGAGTTTACATGCTACAACTAAAGATTCCCCATGCCCCAGTGAAGATTGAAGATCCCATGTGCTACAACTAAGACCCACCACAGTCAAATTTTAAAAATATATAAATAAATAAAAATACTTTAAAAATATATTTGAAGAAATAATGGACAAATGATCCCAAATTTGTGGAAAAACATTAATCTACACATTCAAAAGCTCAGCAAATTCTAAGTGGGATAAACACAAAAAAAGCCATACCTGGAACATCATAGTGAAACTGTTTAAAGCCAGACAAAATAAGAATCTTTAAAGCAAAAAGAGAAAAATGACTCAACAATCAAAGGAGACTCAGAACAGAGGAACCACAAAAAATTTAGTAGGTTACTTCTTACTGGAAACAATGGAGGCAGAAGTCAGGGAATGATATATTCAAAGTGCTGAAAGAATAATGTGTGTGTGTGTTAGTCGCTCAGTAGTGTCTGACTCTTTGCGACCCCTTGGACTGTAGCCCAGGATCTTCTGTTTACGAAATTCTCCAGGCAAGATTACTGGAGTGGGTTGCCATTTCTTTCCAAGAATTTCCAGCAAAATTCTTCTTCAAAAATAGCTATGAAACTTGATGCTATATTACTAGAAGGTAATACATCATTCCCTGGAATGACACTCTTTCCAAAGTACACGGATGTACAACTCTCATGCTCTTGTTCAATCGCTAAGTCTGTCTGACTCTGCCAACCCACGAACCACAGCACACCAGGCTTCCCTGTCCTTCACTATCTCCTGGAATTTGCTCAGACTCATGTTCATAGGGTCAATCATGCCACCAACCTCCTCATCCTCTGTCACCCCCTTCTCCATCTGCCCTCAATCTTTCCCAGCATCAGGGTCTTTTCCAGTGAATTGGCTCTTCATATCAGGCGGCCAAAGTATTGGGGCTTCAGCTTCAAAATCAGAACTTCCAACAAATATTCAGGACTGATTTTCTTTAGGATTTGCTGGTTTGATTTGCAGTCTAAGGGACTCTAAACAGTCTTCTCCAGCACCATAATTCGAAAGCATCAATTCCTTGGCGCTCAACCTTCTTTATGATCCAGCTCTCACATCTGTATGTGACTACTGAAAAAACCATAGCTTTGACTAGGCAGACCTTTGTCAGCAAAGTGATGTCTTTGCTTTTTAATATGCTGTTTATGTTTGTCATAGCTTTGTTTTCAAGGAGAAAACATCCTTTAATTTTGTGGTGTGCAGTCACCATCTGCTGTGATTTTGGAGCCCAAGAAAACAAAATCTGTCACTTTTTTTTTCATTCTTTTTTCATTTTGACATTTTACATTTTCACACAAAGAAATAAAGAGCACTAGTGTATGTAGGTAAATAAAAATACAGCGAAAATATTTTTTTCTTTTTCCTCTCTTAGTTAATTAAAAGACAATCATATAAAACAGTAATTATAAAGCTATATTTTTACTGTTAGGCTTAAATATGTAGTATACATTGTCACCCTGCTTATTTAACTTATATGCAGAGTACATCATGAGAAACGCTGGACTGGAAGAAGCACAAGCTGGAATCAAGATTGCCAGGAGAAATATCAATAACCTCAGATATGCAGATGACACCACCCATATGGCAAAAGTGAAGAGGAACTAAAAAGCCTCTTGATGAAAGTGAAGGAGGAGAGTGAAAAAGTTGGCTTAAAGCTCAACATCCAGAAAACTAAGATAATGGCATCTGGTCCCATCACTTCATGGGAAATAGATGGGGAAGCAGTGGAAGCAGTGTCAGACTTTATTTTGGGGGGCTCCAAAATCATTGCAGATGGTGATTGCAGCATGAAATTACAAGACGATTACTCCCTGGAAGGAAAGTTATGACCAACCTGGATAGCATATTTAAAAGCAGAGACATTACTTTGCCAACAAAGGTCCATCTAGTCAAGGCTATGGTTTTTCCAGTAGTCATGAATGGATGTGAGAGTTGGACTATAAACAAAGCTGAGCGCCAAAGAATTGATGGTTTTGAACAGTGGTGTTGGACAAGACTCTTGAGAGTCCCTTGGACTGCAAGGAGAGCCAACCAGTCCATCCTAAAGGAGATCAGTCCTGGGTGTTCATTGGAAGGACTGATGCTAAAGCTGAAACTCCAATACTTTGGCCACCTCATGCGAAGAGTTGACTCATTGGAAAAGACCCTGATGCTGGGAGAGATTGGGGGCAGGAGGAGAAGGTGACGACAGAGGATAAGATGGCTGGATGGCATCACTGACTTGATGACATGGGTTTGGGTGGACTCCAGGAGTTGGTGATGGACAGGGAGGCCTGGCGTGCTGAGGTTCATGGGGTCACAAAGAGTCGGACACGACTGAGTGACTGAACTGAACTGAACTGATACATGGCAAAGCACAAAGGAGACGAAGAGGGTGGAATTATTGGAGCAAAGATTCTATATTTTGCTGGAATTAAGTTAGTACCAATCTGGAAAAGATTGTGGTAATTTAAGATGTATACTGCAATTCCTATAATTACCACTAAGAAAATGTAATAAAAAGTGGAATTAAAAGGTACACTAGAAAATACCTATTTAACACAGAGGCAAGAAAAGAATAGAAGAAAAAAAAAGATACATGAGAAAATTAGCAGGTATATATCAAGCCATATCAATAATTACATTAAATGTGAATTAATTAAACACATCAGCTAAAAGTCTAGAGTTGGACTATAAAGAAAGCTGAGTGCCAAAGAACGATGCTTTTCAACTGTAGTGCTGGAGAAGACTCTTGAGAGTCTCTTGGACAGCAAGGAGATCCAACCAGTCAATCCTAAAGGAAATCAGTCCTGAATATTCATTGGAAGGACTGATGCTAAAGCTGAAACTCCAATACTTTGGCCACCTGATGTGAAGAACTGACTCATTTGAAAAGACCCTGATGCTGGGAAAGATTGAGGGTGGGAGGAGAAGGGGACGACAGAGGATGATATGGTTGGTGGCATTACTGACTCAGTGGACATGAGTTTGAGTAAACTCCAGGAGTTGGTGATAAACAGGGAACCCTGTCGTACTGCAGTCCATGGGTTCGCAGAGTCGGACATGACTGAGCAACTGAACTGAACTGAGCTAAAAGTGAGAGATTGTCAGATTATATTTTTTTTAAAAAAACCCAGAAGATCCAAATATAAGCAACACATGTTAGATTCAATTATACTAACAATAAACACAGTAATTGGATGCAATCTCAAAAATGACAGAATGATTTCTGTTTCCAAAGCAAATCATTCAGTATCACAGTAATCCAAGTCTATACAATAACCACTATTGCCGAAGAAGCTGAAGTTGAACGGTTCTATGAAGACCTACAAGACCTTCTAGAAC